CATGCACCAGGCCTCTAGTTAATATATTAGTCAAGATGCATCTGATTAATGTAATAAATTGAATGATAGTGATGGCAGGTACACTAAGTATGGAGAGGACTGAGAGATCACTAAGGGATCAATTCCTTTTGGGTGATCACTCTCAGAGCTGTTTGCCTTTTATTTATTTATTTTTTATTTAAAAAATATATTTCATTGATTTTTTACAGAGAGGAAGGGAGATAGTTAGAAACATTGATGAGAGAGGTACATTGATCAGCTGCCTCCTACACACCTCCTACTGGAGATGTGCCTGCAACCAAGGTGCATGCCCTTGATGGGAATCAAACCTGGGACCTTTCTGTCTGCAGGCTGTTGCTCTATCCACCGAACCAAACCGGTTTTGGCATGTTTGCCTTTTAAAGATACATCCTGGTGAAGGGAGATTATAGAAGACAGGAAGGAGAGATCTTTGGTGGGGAGATGATGTCTGAGCACCTCTTGATTTAATAAGGCTTGTAACCATATTTAAGTCTACAAATTAATGGCAAGTAAATGTAGCACAAAAAAACCTTCTATATTTTATTTTATTTTATTTTATTTTATTTTATTTTATTATTTTTAAAATATTGAGAGTATTACAGATGTCCCCCTTTCCTTCATTTTAAAATGCCAATGCTTAAAAGAATCTCTAGTGTATACTTATATAATACTATAATTCAATATACTATGCCTTAAATTTCCCTCATTCTCTTTACAAAGAAATTTGGGAGAAATGATTTTAAAGTTCCTATCAAGAATGGTAATGTGTTGCCCAATTATTTTGGATGGTGACTTTTCATTTGAACATTACAAATTACATATATGGGTGCCTAGAAAGTTTCCAGTCAAGTTTGTGATTTGCACAGAGCAGTAGATAGGACTAGTTGGTGTGCAACAGGTTTATCCCTGCCTCATTTTATGTCCAGGTCTTGCTTTTCTTTTTTACAGTTTCTTCATTTATGCTATTTATCTATGCCTTATGACTCATGCTAAGCCACCTTCAACCCTTTTATATTTGTAAAAGTATTGATAAATATATTGACATGTATGTTTATTTTATATTTTAATACCTGTAAAAGAAAACAAGAGAGATTAGGGAAGAAATGTCTCTTCAAATGTTCAAACCCAATAGTAATTTTGCAAGCAAGCCTTGCAATTTCCCAGCTCAGGGGAAGGCCTCATAATAAAGAAGGGAAGTTTCTATATGAGGACATACCAACTCTAGTGACATCCCTGTGGGACGAAGCAAATAGCATATCTGAAGGACTGAACACAGAGATGAAGACATCATAGAGAATGTACTACGAAGTTTTAACTCTTAGTTTTCAGAGTGCTTTCTCATAAATGTGGACTTTAAAAGTCCCACTAATCTGAGAAAGGTAGGTAAGAAGATAGAATTTGTAAATTATGTTTATTGAAAATTGGGAGCAGCTAACCCAGACCAGAACCCCATTCTTTTGATTCTTGCTCTTAAGCTGCTTCCGGAAACAGGCTTTGGTAAAAATGACCTCAGCAGCTGACAGCCATGAAACACCAAGGGAACCAAAACGTCACTCATTCCAATCCCCCTCTGCTTAGTATGAAGAATTTCTACTTTGACTATGACTATACCATTACTATTTACCAGTATTGTGCAGTTAAAAATTATAAGTTCTTGCCATCAATTAGATTCAATGACAAGAGAGATTTAAAAAATAAGTTTTTTAGCTCAATTTTAAGTCCATAGCTTAGTATACGACCAAGATTAAGTTTTTTACCCCCTCCTTCCCCCCAAAGCAGAAGATATTTTTAAAGATTTGGATTGAACAGCAGAAATACATTTCAGAGCCCTGACAATCACAGTTTAGCCTTTTTTTTTTTTTTTTTTTTTTTACTGTGGTGTGTAATACTGTGGTTGCATCATAGACTAGCAGAGATGGTGCTTTTCCCGTTGCTGGCAACAGTCCAGCTACTAATTTCTGCCTCTGAAGGCAAGAAGACTGTAAGAGGTTAAGTTCCAGAACTTCCTGTGTAAATACATTACCACAAACTTTGCGGCTTAAAACAACAAAAATTTACTTTCTCGTAGTTTTGGAGGTCAGAAGTCCAAACTTAATAACACAGTGGCACATTGTGAACCCAAACAATTATCAATTGATTAATATTTTTACTTCCTTTCAGAGTTTATTTGAAATTCAGACAAGTAGCTATAGCCTCAGATCCCTATTATCTAAGGAAATCTATTATTTTATTCAAGTTATACATTTTTTATTCATGAATATCCATGTTCTTGGTTTTGTGAATAGAAAGTTGGATAAAATATAATCACTTTAAAAAATTCACAGCAAAATGAACTTCCAAGGATACTCAACATTATATTAGAATAATAAAACTGTTCTTCATGGAAACTCTGGAAAAAGACAAAAGGATTCAAAGACCCAAAGAGAAACCAGCACATCCTTTTTAACTCCTTTTTTTTTTTTTTTTTTTTTTTAATATTTTCCACATGGTTCCCAATTACCCGAAGTGCAAATAGAAGACAGGAACACAAATCACTCTCTCTAACAAGAAGAAAAATAAGGTGATACATGTTATGCTATTTTGATATTAACTGATCTCTTAAGCTAGCATAGAACAGGTGTTTTTTTTTAGTTATTCAACAAGAATAACTAACCCAGTTCAGCATAAAAATGTCTCACAATGAATAATATATATGCATCTGTTGGGTTTTTCAATGTTCTAAAATGCTCAATGATGGGGGAACTTAAATATATCTTAATTCATCTTTTCACAGAAAGGGACCACAGAAACTCAGAAATCAATGGATGAGAAAAATTTCACCAAAGTTAAAGAGTTCATACTTTTAGGGTTCACAGCTGACTTATGGTTACAGCACGTGCTCTTTTTCATCTTCCTCATCATTTATATCATCAGTCTCTCAGGGAACATCACCCTGATTTCTCTGATTTGTGCTGATTCGCGGCTCCACACATCCATGTATTTCTTCATTGGAAATCTTTTATTCCTGGATCTCTGGTATTCCTCTGTCTATAATCCAAAAATCCTTATGACCTGCATCTCTGCAGACAAAAGCATCTCCTTTGCTGCCTGTTTGGCTCAGTTCTTTTTCTCAGCTGGACTGGCCTATAGTGAATGTTACCTGTTGGCTGCCATGGCTTATGACCGCTACGTGGCCATCTCCACCCCGCTGCTTTATTCCCAGGTGATGTCCTCAAAGTTATGCACCGGTCTTGTTGCAGCTTCATACCTTGGTGGCTTTCTTAACTCAGTCATCATCACCAGTGAGACATTTACCCTGAACTTCTGTGGCAACAATATCATTGATGACTTCTTCTGTGACCTGCCGCCCCTTGTAAAGTTGGCCTGTGATGTGAAGGAGAGCTACCAGGCTATGCTCTATTTCATACTTGCCTCCAACATCATTACTCCCACTGTGCTTATCTTTGCCTCCTACCTCTTCATCATAGCTGCCATCTTGAGGATCCGCTCCACCCAAGGCCGCCTCAAGGCTTTCTCCACTTGTGCCTCTCACCTGACAGCTGTCACCTTGTACTATGGCTCAATTCTTTTCATTTACTCCCGACCAAGTACTAGCTATGCCCTGAAAAGGGATAAAGTGGTGTCAGTTTTCTATACTGTGGTGATTCCAATGTTGAATCCTTTGATCTATAGCTTAAGAAATAAAGATGTTAAAAATGCACTGAGAAAAATAATAGACAGACTGCCCAGTTCTGGTTGATCAGTTGGTTGGAGCATTATCCCATATGGCAAAAGACTGTGGCACATACTTAGGTTGCAGGTTTGATCCTGTTGTTCAGGGTGCATATGGAAGACAACTGATCCATGTTTCTCTCTTACATCAATATCTCTCTCTCTCTCTCTCTCTCTCTCTCTCTCTCTCTCTCTCTCTCTCTCTCTTTGAAATCAATAAACATATCCTCAGGTGAGGGGGGAAAAAGAAAACAGACAGAGCAAAGTGTTTTTAAAATGAAAATACTTAGTAAATAATGGGTGTATTTTATTTTACAGATTATCTTCATGTCATTGTTATCAAATATACTTAAAAATAAATCAAAATATAAAAATCAATCAAACAAATAAAATCATGGATAATGTGGAAATATCAGTCTGCATTTTTGTCTTTTGAATACATTTTTAAATAAACCAGGCTGGTGCATTTGGAAAAACTGCGATGCCTGTTGGCTTAAAAGAGAGTTCATGAAATTATTGTGAAGGTTATAAGAGAAAAAAACCTTTTTAAAAAATTTTCACTTCAGAGTTTAAGTTGCCTGTTTATAAATATTTTAATCTATATATGGGAATACTAAAATTGGTTATGGAATCATTGCCAGGATTAGATGGGGTAAATGACTTGCTTCAAATCATTGTAGTTCATAGGTAAAAAATAAAATAAAAGTAAAACAGGAACATAAACCCAGAACTTTTGAGTCCAAAGGTTCTTATTCCATTTGCTGGGTTAGGGGCAATCAGGAAGGCAGGCTGGCGAGCAGTTGGGAGCCAGTAGTCCTGGATTGTGAGAGGGATGTCTGACTGCCCATTTAGGTCCAATCCTACTGAATGGGCAGTTGGACATTCCTCGAGGGGTCCCAGATTGGAGAAAGGTGCAGGCTGGGCTGAGGGATACCCCCCGACCCAGTAAATGAATTTCATGCATGGGCCTCTTGTTATTGATAACAATGAAGGTTCTCTGCATTAATCCTTTGGGATTCCAGATGTAAATACACACTTCTATTTTACATTAAACCACCATGCTATTTTAAGAATTATATTAATTGATTTTATATTTTATTGTACAGACTACAGTCTGATCACTAAAACAAAATAAGCTAATATAAAATAAAACATTTTTCATTTGATTTGTTTGAATATAAAAAGAGGTACTCTTTAATACAGTCCTCCAACCTTATCCCCAAGCAGTTCATTTTCCTTGAGCACTAGTTTGAGAACTTTATGTCAATTTAAACTTCAGATAATATGAACCTGCAGAGCTTTTTCATAGCTTCTTTCACATCTTTATTTCTTAGACTACAGATCATAGGATTCAACATGGGGAACAGCACAGTATAAAATGTAGACACCATTTTGTCCTCTCAAGGGAAAAGCTGGAACTTGGGTGAGGGTAGATGTAGAGAATGGAGCCATAGTATAAGCTGACAGAGATCAGGTGGGAGGAGCATGTGAGAAGGCTTTGCGGTGTCTGGGTGGAGCAGATCCCCAAGATGGCGGCGATGATGAAGAGATAGGGGGTGAGTGTGAGCGCAGTGTGGGTAATGACATCGGAGGCCAGGAGAAAGTACAGCACATTCTGGTAGCTCTCTTTCACGTCATATGCCAACTTCACCGGAGGTGGGGCATCACAGAAAAAGTAGTCAATGATATCATTGCCACAAAAACCTAATGTGAATGTGTTGCTGCTGAGTATTACTGCGTTGACAAAACCTCCAGTATAGGAATATATAACCAAACAGATGCCCAATCTCCTTGACATGGCCTGTGCATAAAGAAGGGGGTTGGAAATGGCTTCATAGCAGTCGTAAGCCATGGTGGCCAATAGATAACACTCACTATAGGCCAGTCCAGCAGAGAAGAACTGGGCTACACAGAGATGCGTTTGTCTTCAGAGAAGAAATAAAAGACTTGCCCTCAGAGGAAATATACATTAAAAAAGTTATGGGATCTCACAAATATGTATTGGTGGGATTTGGGGAAGCATATTTGGGATTGGATTCTAAAAGTATTAACTCAATGAAAATGAAATGTAAGGATTAATCAAGTCAATTTTATCAATACAAGGAGGCAAGAGAATTCAAGGGAGTAAAGACAGTCTATCCAATAAATAGTGCTGGAAAAATTAGACAGATATGTGCAAAAAAATGAAATTAGACCACTTTTTTACACCGTACACAAGAATAAACTCAAAGTGGGTTAAAGACTTAAATGCAAGACTTGAACCATAAAAGTCCTAGAAGAAAATACAAGTAGTAAAATCTCTGGCATTTCTTTTAACAACATTTTTTCTAATTATATCTCTTCAGGCAAGGAAATAAAAGAGAAAAAGAAACAAATGGAATCACATCAAACAAAAGGTTTTGCATAGGAAAGGAAACTAACAAACCCAAACCCCCAAATGAAGACACTTCATGTTGGTCCTTTTTGTCCCTGCTCTATCATTTGTAAAATCATCCATGTTTTCTAGACACAACAGGAATCTGTATTTTCTCACTAGAAATCACAGATTGAGCTATGCTTTGGGAAGTACTGATTACCTCTGGTTGGCAGTAGCAATAGAGATACAAATTTATGTCTGAAATGTGTACAAGCAGAATATCATGGGGTACAATAAGTTATCTTCTTTTGGTATGAAAACAGGGGTGATCTGAGGTGTGTCTCTACATTGTTTCATGAGCTGTAACTAATAGATTGGCTGATGGAACAGGGACTTAGAATAAGACTTGAAATTAGTGACAGGGAAGTCTGGGAGAGGTGTGAGGCTAGATGGCTTGGAGAGGATATTGAGAAGATATTCATGTTCCATTATAAATGTCCACCAGAGGGCGCTGGTTGCAGGAAAGACATTCAGTAATCAAGTGGACAAATGATCCACGCTGAGAATGTTGGTAAATTTCTTTCTCTGGAAAGCCCTGTACTTACACAGTGAGAACACTGCAAATGAGCCATGACAGCAAAGATAGAGGCTACACATGAAGCAAACAGAATTGGTTTCCCTTTTTTGCTTCTACTTTTTTTAATTTTTTTATTAAGACAATTCTTTGCCCTAATCTCTGTCAAGACAATTCTAACCAGAGGCACCACCAACAATTGATTAAGAAATAATCTTGTAGTTTTCAACAAGGTCACTGATTAGAGATGTAAGGATGAGATTCAAAGCTCTTCCTGATTCTAAAGCACTCCTCTGAATTAGAACAAGTACTTGTTATACAAATATTGTTGGTTTGCAGGTGTTAAAGAGCAAAATTCAACCGAGTTAATTTGAAGATCTAATTGGCTTTATTAAGTGATTCATAAATCAGGAAGTATTCTATCTAGTAAGTAGTAGAGTGAACAGAGGGGCTTTACAAAATGGAAGGTTTTTATAGGAAGGAGAAGGAGGTCAGGGAATTATAAAAAAAAATGAGAAAGGATTATTTTTAGGCCAGGTCATCTTTTTTGGGGGGTAGGAGGTGGATCAAGGGAACTGCAAAGAGTTATGGGGCAACCATCAGAGATAGAGATAAAAATTTATGAGCCTTTAATAAACTGGCCAGTGACTGCAGTTGCAGCATTATACTCGGAAACCACAAGGGGGAGTTAGGACAGTTACAATGACAACCCAAAGGTTACAAAAGCTATTTCAGCCATATCCAAGGAACTCAGGGCACAAGTGTAACGCCTGGGCACTCTTGGCCTGAGCTTGACCCACTACCTCCCTCCAAACTCTAACCGACCCATTGTTTGGTGACCTACTCCACCTCCCTCTGTCCTAAGGCATCCTGCCTCCAGGCAACGAAGGAGCTGTGCAATGTTTGCAGCCCAGAACAGTCTAATTAAAAGCAGAAGAGGAGAAAAAGGCATGGGAACATTTTAGAGGGAATGAGGAAAACAAACCTGTAAACATTATGACCTTGCTAACATTAGGCTTAACAATTGATCCAAAATTATCTCTCCCACAGGATCCGAGAGTCCTATGGCTTCCCTGAGGCCTGAAAGGATGTCAATACGTGAAACTTACATGTTAACCACTTCAAAATATTAGGCAGAGGAGATCAAAGGATCCAGAAATTATTTTGTAAAACCAACCATTTGCCAGAAGGAAAGACTCAGGATAGAAAAAAAAAAGGGGGGGGAGGGTCTTGGTAATTGGTGGTAGCAGTTTCAGAGAGATAATACAGTAACTAGAAGCACACCAAACTCCTTGTTGGCAAATGTGTGCCTTGTATTTGTACCTTCCAGAACCTGGCATGTACCTAGCACTTCCAAGTTTTTGCTAAATATGAGTGGATGGATGCGGGGCTGAGTTAGTCATTTCTCACACAAGCCCCATTCCCCAAGTATTTAACTAAATTTTCTCTGACCTCCTTCCAGAATAGAGGAATATTCAACATTTAGACCTGTCATTCCTCATGACCATGAAAAAAAAATCATGGGCTATTTATTTCCCCTATCAAACCCTGTCTTCATTTCTAACCAATATTTGAATAAAATTTAAATAAAAAAGTAATGAATCTTGCTCAGCGTATCTTTCAAAAATATTAATTTATTTTTCCTTCAGATAACAGAGTTAAGGGCTACATAAAATTCTTCCAAAATTAAGATTCACTCAACAAATAGATGGTACCTTGGGTAGTATTTATTGGAAAAATATTTGCATTTTTAAATTTTTCTGCCACCACTCCTCTATCACTATTATTTATCTGTGATAATACACATTTTCATTTTTTGCTATTTTTGAGTTTTTTTCCCAATTAGTTTTTTGAAAGCAGCTTTAACATCCTTGTTCCGTAAACTGTAGATCAAGGGATTCAACATGGGGATGATGATAGTATAGAACACAGAGGCCCACTTATCTTGGTTCAGGGAGTAGCTGGATGTTGGTCTCAGGTACATAAACATGACTGTGCCGTAGAAAAGTGTAACGCCAGTGAGGTGAGATCCACAAGTGGAGAAAGCCTTCAGGCGGCCCTCAGCGGAGCGCATCTTGATGATTGCAACGAGGATGTAGGCATAGGAGATGAAGATGATGAGGATGGTGCTGAATTCAATGAAGCCACACAGACTAAAGAGCAAGATCTCACTGACGTAGGTATCTGAACAAGAGAGGGCTAAGAGTGGTGGGATTTCACAGAAGAAGTGGTTGATGATATTGGAACCACAATAACTCAAACTGAAGGTGAGAGAAGTGTGAGCTATTAAACTCACCAGACCAGCCAGATAAGAACCCAGCATGAGAACCAAGCAGACTCGCTTAGACATGAGAGTGCTGTAGTGGAGGGGTCGACAGATGGCCACAAAACGATCATAGGCCATGGCAGCCAGGACATAGCACTCGGCATCCACAAAACCCACAAAGAAAGCAAACTGGGTGGCACAGCTGGAGAAGGAGATGACTTTGTGCTTTGTTAGGAAGTCAGCCAGCATCCTGGGAGCAATGGCTGAGGAGTAGCCCAGGTCCACAAAGGAGAGATTGCAGAGGAAAAAGTACATGGGTGTGTGAAGCTGATTGTCTGTTATGATCAGGATAATCAGACCAACATTCCCCACTACATTGACCAGGTAGATGAAGAGGAAGACCACAAAGAAGATAATCTGCAGCTGAGGGTCCTGTGTGATACCCATAAAGATAAATTCAGTCACCACTGAGTGGTTTTCTTTATCCATCTTTTCCATTTTTTGTGTGCCTGGATTTGGTTTATTGTTTGGAGTGATCGTTAAAAATCTTCTCAGTGATTAGATTCTATGACTTATAGGGTGAAGGTGATGGCTGTGTGTCCTCTCCAGCTGCCCAGTCAAAATGAAGCAGATGTTAGTGACTCAGGGATTGTAAATTTTGCTTCTCCAAAAACAAGTGCTCTGAGGTCGCTTGTCATATGGTACCAATGCATAACCTGATCTATGTATTTATCTGCCTTACTAATCAATAAAGAAGAACAGTTTTGAGTGTCCCTTTCTTCTTCCTGAAACAAAGCAGATTGATATGAATAAATATAAACTCTCTTTGCATATAGGCACCAAAATTAAAGAAATGAAATATCCAAGGATCTCAAAGTATAACTCATGACATCACATTCATACACACATTTACAGAAAGTGAAATATTTGGAGCAGAGGGTGAAAAATATTAGAAAAGGTAAAGGATAATAATTTTTAAAAAGAAGAAGTTACTGAGTTTTAATGTTAGGTCAGAAATTTGAATGCCATATATATATATATATATATATATATATATATATATATATATATATATATATATATATATATATATATATATATATAACTTAATATCATCCTCACAACTGAAAAGAGTAAGACTGGATATTAAATAACTTTAACAAAGTGAACAACCAATAAGTAGCAGAGCTGGTTCCATCTGAGTCAACTTTGGAGTTCACTTCACTTCACTTTATTGCTCTCTGTCTATATGTGATTTAATGAAGGTGAAATCTCTTTATTTTTGTTCCTGTCTTTTCCCCTGTCTTGCCTATCATGCATGGGCATAGACTTAGTCTTTTAGTTTCCCTAACCTTTAGAAGTATCTAGAGGTTTGGCATAGGGTAGAATGAGGGTGAAGTCACAGCTATGTCTTTGAACAATTCTATTGCCTAGCCAACAGGTTGTTGCATAGCTCAGTTCAAAGTTACAATTCAAGGATCTCTCACTCTTAGGGAATAGAGAAAACATTATCTGACTCTTAGGTTACATAGGAACATACATTTGTTATTTTGTCTTTAATTGGATGAATAGCTGATCCATTGAAGAATTCTAAAAAGGAAGTGAGTAAAATTAAACCAAATGAAAACAAAGTAAATGCAGTAATTAAGAAATAAATAACATCCTTTATCTAAACCTAAAGGCAGAAATCAGAGAATACCTACTTTAATTGATTTATTGCATAGGACAGACAAGAAAGCAGATAGTATTATCTGTCTTTCATATATGTATTAGTGCATATATATATATCTACCTACATATAACATTAGCTAAAGTTCAACCCAGTCTGACACTTTAAGAAATATAATAGTACAATAGTGAGTAAATAAGCATATTTTATAGTTAACAATAATTAAAATGTTTAAAACAAGCCCAGCAAAGTATTGCAAGTATAGACCATCTGAATTTTAAATTTTGATATATCACTTGCTTTTGCATATTTAAATGTAAATAATACTGAAGCAAGAGTTTAGAATCCTAGTCATAGTCCTGTTTTTTCCATTAATTATATTTTGGACTTCATGAATTTCTGTATTAGACACAGCTTCCTTAACTGTGAAATAAATGCGGTGGAGATAAAAATTCTATTGAGCTTTCCAAATCTAGAATTTTTTTGAATTCAGACTTATTATGATATACCTAAAAGCCAAACCCTCAGACTGTGTCTCTTTTTGAAATTTTAAAATGGCATGGACCTGGAGCCAAGCAAACACATTCTGGAAGAACCACTGGGCAGTATAACCTACCTGGTCACAATACTTTCTCTTTCGTCCCAAATACTGACCTGTGACCTGACCTGTTTTCTGCCTGTTGGTGAGAGGTTGAATGTCTCATCTTCTCTTGAAGAGTGGTATGAACAGATATTCTGAGACGTTTTCAAACAGTCAGTCTCTTTGGTATTTGTCAGAGCTACTTGCTCATCCCACCTTTGCTCCTGTGTGCAGGAGTTATTTAATCCCCAGAATCACAAATAATCCCCAAAAGAAATATGATGAAATGCTTTCTGTATTCATAGGAGACCCAAAGATTTAATGAACTGTCATTCCCTAAAGATTTCACTGTCTTCCTTAAGCCCTAATAATAAAAGAAGGAAATACAAGGGAATTCTTATCACCACTCTAGTTGTGAATATTGAGTCCACCATACGGGCTACATGGACTCCTAATCCAGCCTTAAACTGCCTATTATGGTGTGATTTTGATGGTAATTTAGAAAGTTTTGTTTGCTGATGCCTGAAAATCCTTTCAAAGAAGATGATACTTTCCATGCTATATGGAGTGGTTCATATTTAAATGTACATGTGACAGCCAGCAGTATATGGGATACCCAATGGTGCTTACTTTTCATAAAGGTTGGCCAACACTCCCACAAGTATTATTGGAACAGTATTAAATTTATAAATTAACTAAGCAGAATTACCACCTTTATGCCATTAAGTCTTGCTATCAAAGAGCATGTATGTCTTTATACTTCTTCAAATCTACTTTGGTACCTCTCTAAAGTTTTTCTTCACAGAGATTTTGTGCATATTTTCATCTGGTTTTACTTAAGGCTTTTATGTTTGGCCATCATGAATGAGAGCTTCTCTTCCACATAAATTTCCTAACTAGGAGGTGTTTGTGTTTACAAGGTTATTAGCTAAGTTAACATTTTGTTAATTTACTGAATTTTCTCTCTCTCTTCTTGATTTTGTCAGCTATAAAATCTATTTAAGAAAATTTTATGGCTAGTGACTACTATGCAAGTGTATATGTTTATACCCTTTCAGACCCAAATGATGTCTTTTTATAGCAATTTCCCGCTGCTTTTTATATTGTCCTCTCTACTTCTGAAATGATATTCATAGATTATTTAATTTACCTACATATATAATGAAAGAGGAGAAACAAATTTAAATAACTTCATAATAATATAATATATATTTTAATATCTAACTGGTTAGGCATAACTACATAATGAAAAAGACAAATGCTTGCCTGTATATTGGAAATCTCCATAAATGTGACAGTTAAAAATACAGGGTGATACTCGTTTGTTATATAGGCACCTCAATCAATTTTGCAACTTTTTAGCTCATGGCATCAATTTCTGAAATGATGAACAGCTCTTTGTATTATAAAGCCCCAACCCAGTTTTTGTTCTCTTTGAGTTACTTAATAAATTAATCTGTGGCAAATTTGTTATATATAAAATTACATTCAACAATACTTCATATTTATACTTAAAATGTGTTTACATGTAAAATGGAGGTTGATTCAAAACTCTTTGAGATTTCTAGTTTTGCAGGCTGGAGCTGACTAGGACCTACTATATATCCTGTCCATGATTAATGACTCCTTTGCTACCCAGTGGTCTCATTCTACCACTGTAATCACTGGGTCTTACATCTTGTATTCCTTACCTCCTAATGCCATGTGACCTTTCTTCTAATTACACAAAGGTTAATGTCATTTAATTTATCACTGTTTGTTTTTATGTAAAACGAATTCACAATTGATGAAGAGTTATTTATTTAATTATTAAATAAATCTTCATTGTTTGCCAGTTATGTTTCAGATTCTGTATTGACAGAAGCCTACTGTATTTTCCCTCCAAGATGCCAATAAATTTAAATTTCACCTAATTGCTAGAGCTAAAGTAACATGACACATCTTTTGCATCTTTATGTTCCCCCACCATTTAGTAAAAATTGCATTGATTAAAAAGTATTTAGACATAAATTAATTACAATAGAATGTCTTCTCAAAGTGGCAGACATGTAAATAATCATCAGATATTGATCAATTTGTTTCAGACTCTGTGTCCTTTTTTTTTGGTTGTTAATCCTCATTGAATGATATATATTTTTTTCCCATTGATTTTTTTTTAGAGGGAATGGAAGTGAGGGGGAGAGACAGAGAGACAAATTGACTGGTTTCCATGCATGCACATCAACTGGGGCCAGGGATCAGCCTGCAACTGAAATATATGTGCTCTTGACCTGTAAGCAAACCCATGACCCTTCAGTTCACAGGCTGACATTCTAATCACTGAACAAAACTGGTTAGGGCAGTCTTTTATATGCAAGTTATAGTGGAACAAATGGGAAACTTGGTAAGTCTCGATATAGGCTGAAACTATTTCTTACTCTGGACAGTAGTGAATAGTGTCAGTGTAGGAGAAACTTTATTTATTAATTATAGGCTCAGTGCACAAAATTTGTGCACAGGGTGTGTATCCCTCAGCCCAGCCTGTACCCTCTCCAATCTGGGACTCCTTGAGGAATGTCCAACTGCCCTTTTAGGCCCACCAGGATCAGCCTAAAGGGCAATTGGACATCCTTTTCACAAACCAGGTCTGTGAGAAGGGTGTCAGAGCAAGAGAGTTTGACACTCCCAACTGCTCACCTGCCTGCCTGCCTGGTTTCCCCTAACCACTTCTGTCTGCCTGCCTGATTACCTCCAACCACTCCCATGCCAGCCTGATCAATGCTTAAGTGCCCTCCTCTGCAGGTCTGATTGTTCCTAATTGCCCTTCCCTTCAGGCCTGGTTGCTCCCAACTACCCTTCCCTACAGGCCTGGTTGCCCCCAACTGCCCTCCCCTGCAGGCCTGGTCTCCCCTAACTTCCTTCCCTTGCAGGCCCAGTAACCCCTAACTGCCCTCCCCTGCCAGCCATCTTGTGGTGGCCATCTTGTGTCCACCTGGGAGCAGCCGTCTTTGACCACATAGGGGTCCATCTTGTGTGTTGGAGTGATGGTCAATTTGCATATCACTCTTTTATTAGATGGGTTATCATCTATCCATGTCCATTTGATGTGACAACTCACAGGCATTCATTTATTGTGTCAGAGTTATCCTAGGCATTAGCATTTTCAATTAGAAATGAAAAAACTAAGGCAAAATGAAGTTTAGTGAAATATCCAAAAATCACACAATCAATGAGACACTGAGCCAGAACTGAAAGCCAAGTTCTTACTATTTCCCTGCACTTTCTTTAATCAGCTCCTCTCCATGATCCAAGTAGGCAAGAACAGAGGTAGAGCCAACCTGCTGTCTTTGTGGATTCTTTCAATGCTTCCAAGGGACCAGAACACTAAATATCAAGGGAGACAGGAAAAAGGATGCTTAATAATTATTAGGAATATGGGACTGAAAAGTTGCTCTCCACAGGGCCCAGGTGTCCTGAGGGTAAAGGAGAGAAATATAAAAGAAACATTTGTTTTCCTTAGTTTCAGAGAGGACAAACAAGTAGATTAAAATAAGGTGAAATGAGAGATACAATCTCCAGAGACTAAAGAATGGGAAATACACTCTACTTAAAATAAGTCAGGATGCCTACTCCACAGTCTGGTCTGGAGACTCTGTGATTGCAAATAACGTTGAAAAATAGTACAGCTGTTCTGCAAAGATATATTCTATATTTTGAAGTGTATTTTACCATAATATAACAAAGTGGAATACTTATCTTTAAGGAAAAGAGAAAGAATGACTCAACCTCTGCTGAATGAAGAATAACTTTCTTATGATAGGAAAGGTTTCAATTTTCCTATCTCTGTAACAGATGGTATCTAAAGTCCATTCCAACTGTACTTTCTGCTTAATCTATAGTGAGTGACATCTCTAAGAAGATTTACTTTTTCCTGCATTTTTTGGTGTGAATTTGGACATTGACTAGGTACAAGCAAAGTGATCAAATAGAAGTCCAGCAGTTAAAAAAGGTAATAAAAATATATAAAATGTTTTGTTCATGTAACTCACTGAATTGGAAGGAAAATTTACAATGCTGTTAATTTCTCCAACTGTTACAGTTTCAAAGTCCATGTGCTCAATGTTTTAAAAGCTTAAAATGCAAAATGTCAGTTTGGAGTAGATCTTTTCTATCCAATGGTAGTACAGGTATTGGGTTACTTTGGACCCATGTTTTAAATTTGGACAATAGATAATAAATTCTTGCTGTGGGTGAGAAAGAAATTGATACTTTGACAATTCGACTAGTGCAGTTTTATCTATCATTCTGAGGTCCAGGAAGGAAGACAAAGTTGGAGGGGAAGTGGAGAAGAATTCCACTGGAGCTATTGCTTAAACTCTTACTGTAATTTAGTTCCTGTAATTGTCCAATAAATGGTTAATGCCAGAAGTAATTTTAGTCAATAGGTATGAAGTCACTCTTCTCGAGGTCATTAGTAAGTAGATAGCACACTCATAACTCAGATTTAGTTTTTTTAATGTCTTTTAACTAGATATCAAGTCCAACACACTTTTTAGTGTATTTTTCATTTTGCACTCTTCTGTTAGACATATGTGTATATGTCAGCAAAAAGATGTTTATGCCGTATTCTGTCTTCTTTGTTTTTGCAGCTGAAATGATCAGATATATGAAAGAGGTTCAAGGCAGGAATCAAACTGAAGTGACAGAGTTTATCCTCTTAGGACTCTCAGATAATCCAGCTCTACAAGTTGTCCTCTTTGGATTGTTTCTGTTAATCTATATGGCAACTATGGTGGGTAATTTGGAGATGATCATGTTGATTAAGGTTGACCCTCATCTCCACACCCCCATGTACTTCTTTCTCAGCAGCCTCTCTTTTGTTGATGCCTCTTATTCTTCTTCTGTTACTCCTAAGATGCCGGTGAACCTGGTGGCCGAGAATAAGGCCATTTCTTTTAGTGGATGTTCTGCCCAGTTCTACTTTTTTGGCTCCTTCCTGGGGACTGAATTGCTTCCTGTTGGCCATGATGGCCTACGACCGCTATGCAGCCATTTGGAATCCTCTGTTATACCCAGTTCTCATGTCTGGGAGTATATGCTTCTTGCTAGTAGCTACCTCATTCCTAGCAGGCTTTGGGAATGCAGCCATCCACACAGGAATGACCTTCAGATTGTCCTTCTGTGGCTCTAATCGGATCAATCATTTCTACTGTGACACCCCACCCCTGCTCTGACACCCACAGCAATTGCATGTGACCATGGCTTTCTCCAGTTTCAGTGTCATCAGCTGTGTTGTGATTGTCCTCATCTCCTACCTGTGTATCCTCATTGCCGTCTTGGGAATGCCCTCCCTGGAGGGTAGGCACAAAGCCTTTTCTACTTGTGCCTCCCACCTCATGGCTGTCACCATATTCCTTGGAACAATTCTCTTCATGTACTTGCGCCCAACATCTAGCTACTCAATGGAGCAGGACAAGATTGTTTCTGTGTTTTATACTGTAGTGATCCCTATGCTGAATCCCCTCCTCTACAGTTTGAAAAACGAGGATGTAAAAGGGGCCCTGAAGAAAATCTTAGAGAAGCCCACATGGTAAAGCCATGTGACCATATCCTGTTATGTAGAAGAAAATGTGTGTTCATATTAATTTTGTCTGATTGCTTAACCACATTTTTTTTTGTGTGTATACTAAAGCAGGTTTTTAAAAAATAAGGTATAGTTCTTAATCTGGTGTCTTACATGGGTATCCTAGGGCCTACATGATGAATCAACACAGTGGATGACGGCATTGTCAGGTAAACTATCAAATACTGAGAGGTGGCTGGCTTAAATTTAAGCTACAATTTCCATATTTAGCTTTGCTAAATATCAGTTTTCTTATATATAAATATTGTAAAAATTGTGAAAAAAGGACCAGGTATTTGTACTTCCACAATGATCTGTTTTGGATATGCGTTATCCACTGGGACGGAGGGGATGAATGTGAGCATAGCATTCCTTTTAACAGGGACAAACCTCACCTCTGAAGTGTCAGTTTCCAATAAACTTGGAAGCTGGAGAACTAAATACTTAAATCCTGCAAGGCAAATCAGGTTAATGTACCATGGAATCACTTAAAATACTAACACTATTCTACTCACAAGGATGTCAAGAGTACCAAATAAGACACAAGAACGTATCTTAACAGGTGCTATAATAATACCAGAGGCCTGGTGCACAAAATTCATGCATGAGTGGGGTCCCTAGGCCTGGCCATTGTCAGGGCTGATCAAGTTCCCCACCTTCCCACCTACTTCTTCCCTCACTGCCCACATGCTGCCAATGCCTGGTTCCCTGCCTCCCTGCATCCCTGCCGCCTCCTTTCCTTGCTACCCACATGCCACCACTGAGTGGTTTCCCACCTCCCCACCTTCCTCTTTCCCCACTTCTCCTTGGCCTCCCTCCCTTCTCCTTCCCTTGCTACCCATGTCCACCATCACTCACCCCCCATCTTCCATCCTAGCTCAGGGCCCAGCCCTGATCAGGTGACCAGGACCTGCCAGCTGGGGGGAGAACTATGAGGTTGGCTGACAGGCTTTGATCGATGACTGTGCCTGCCAGCTGAAGGAGGAACAAGGGGAGGAACCTGGGAGGTTGGCCACTGGCCCCAAGGAGGAAGCTGGCCTTTGACCCCCCCCACCTCCCGGGAAAGAGGCTGTGTCCACTGTAACCCACCCCTGGTTCCCCATCCCAGCCCAGTGCCCAGCCCATATAGGGTGATTGTGGTCTCCTGGCTGGGGGAGGGACCAGGAGGTTGGCCTGCAGGCCCCATTGGCGATCAGGGCCTGCAGGTTGGGGGCAGCTCCTTCATTGACTATCTGTCCCCTGGTGGTCAGTGCACATCATAATGATCGGTCGTTCCAGTCATTCCAGTCATTCTGGTTGTAACAGTTGCTTAGGCTTCTATATATATATATATATATATATATATATATATATATATATACACATATCTATATCTATATCTATATAGATGACTACAGCAGCAACAATGGGGGAATATTTTACTGATTTAGTGAATTAATTGGAATATTTTGAGGGTAATAATCAGTGTATTTTAACTTTTTAATCTCTATCCCTCCCAAAAATCTTATTGACTTATTCCTTTCCATTGCTTCATTGGTACATTGGTTCTCCATCTGCCTCCACTTCTTAGGTGATTTAAGAAGTCTGTCACGAATCTAAATCCACATCTCCAGCCCTGATTCCTAACCTGAATTCCAGATTTTCATATTAAATTGACATCCTGGCATCTAAGGACTTTGGGCACATTAAAGGATTAAGAAATTGGTGTTCTTTACTTAGCTATCATACTCAGACATCTATAAAATAATCATGCCTTTTGTACTATGAGGAGGGACTGCATCTTAGCATCATATTTACATGTTCTTGGGCTTAAAATATCCTTCTCCATGTTAAGTTATAAATGGTATTTTATGTTATATTCCCTTAGTTTGTGCTTGGAACAAGAAAATGAACACCTTTCATATCTTTATTTACTCATAATATAAACAAAAACTGTTTGTTGATATACCAAAAAGCTTCACATATTTAATGTATACAATTTGATGAGTTTGAACATATGCATACATCAATAAAATTGTTTAAAAAATCTATTAATGGAAAAACTGGAATGGAACATACTGAATAATGGAGATAAAGCAGGTAAGAAAACACAAACACAAAGTTCCTGATCTCATGAAACTTGTGTTCAAATAAGGGAGACTTTATTGTCTATACCAAATGTGTATGTATGTATGTATTTATGCACACGTGTGTGTGTGTGTGTGTGTGTGTGTGTGTGTGTGTGTGTGTGTTTGATATTGCTATGAGTTGTATTTTGAAGACAAATAAAGCAGGCAATAGAATAGAGAACGGTGGAGTGAGAGAAGAGCTTCCTGTGGAAATTACATTTGATCGATACCTAAATAGGGATAATATCATGTGAATGTCTGTAAAAGGACATTATAGGCATGCTACATTAAATACAAAGGCCATGGGAAAGATTATGTTTGGTTTGCTAAAGGAATAGTAAGGAGACAAATATATGTGGACCAGAGTGAGCAAATGACAGGAGGAAAATAACTGACATCAGAAAGGTGTTGTAAAGGAACAGTAGGTAACATTATAGGCCATAGACAGGCTTTCAACTTCATTATTTTCATCTCACCCAATATAGCAGTTCTCTCCCAACTCTAAATGCAAGATATGAGGAAGTGACAAGATTGGTTTTGCTAGCTACTCTAAGTACCAAAGACATTGTCTGCTCCATTAAACACAATCACTATATCTTATTGAATGAATTGATTAATGAATGCAGTAAGAACCATATTCCAGTATAAATAAGTAGAGATCATATCTTGAGTGAAATTTGAGGGTTTGAGACAAGCTAAGCTCAGTTGTTTACCACTTAATTAATTCCAGTGAATCTTAGGATCATAACATCATTTTTTTTTGCATTTCTCTAAATACCTAAGTTACCCCCCCCCCCTCCAGGGTATACATGAGTCACTGGGGAAGATGTAGTTCAATTATTTCAGGGAAAAATAAATGCAAGCTTTAATTTTGGATCAGCACATTGCTAGACTTTTGTGAGACTAAGTCTCATGAGACTGATCATAGCTTTTATAAAGGTGACTGACTCTCTGCCTTGAATTCAGTAATGGCATTTTCTAATCTTTGTTGAATTTATGATTTAATTTTATCAAAGCTATAAACATCACACTAGGAAACAGAAAACGTGTATTCACCCAACAAACAACAACAGCAAAAAAAAAAGGTAAATTAACAAGCACCACTACTTCCAGTGAATATTTCTTTAGGACAAAAGGTAAGATGATTTCATTTATCTCAAAGTGTTCAGATATAGAAAGTTTCCAAGAGGACTCAAAAAACATTCAAGTAATTGAAAATAAACATCTCTTTTGTTATATGTCTGACACACTGAATTTATTGTTATGAACTAAATTAATGTGATTGTTTTAGAAGAGAGGAATTTAGGATCACTAGTAACAGATGAGAATTTTATAGATATTTAGTATATGCATATATATGTGTGTGAATGTGTGTGCAAATAAAATTGAATTAAGTTTGTGTAGAAAGAGTGCCAAAATGCTTGACATATTTATTGCCTTCTAAAGGCATTAAATAAAATAATTTCATGCTCTTATATGTACGAATTGAGAAAATGCTTATAACTTTCAGCCTTCATCAAATGTATATGTACACATGTATGTGTGTATGCACACATATAGGATCATACATATTATAGGCAATATAATTTTATCTATGTCAATTTATATGTTTGTTACATATGTAATATATATATATGCATAAAGCAGAACTCTATGAAATGGCTGCAAAATTTTAAAAGTGGTTATTTATAAAAAAGAATTTATTTGATTTTAGGAACAGAAAGATCAGCTAAGAGGCTATTGCAATAATCTAGATGAAAGATGATGTTGTCTTGGGCCTTGGTAGTAGGAATGGAGGTGGTGGAAGGTAATTGGCTTATTAATATATTTTGAAAATAGAGACAACATATTTATTTGATAAAATGGTATGTGTTAGATAGAGAAGAGATCAATATTTCCAATATCTATTTGTAATAATTTGAGCAAATGGAACTATAGAGTTGTCATTGATTTGACATATGAATGCTGTGTTTAGAGCAAATTAAGAGAGAACATAAATAATTCAATTCAATTTTGGGTGCTGTTGAGTTGCTATTCTATATTAACTCAGATATACAAGAAGTTTCTTTTAAGTCTGGAGTTGGGAAAAGAGGTAAAGTCTGGAGATATAAATTTAGGTGTTCTAAACATATAGATGATATTTAAAGCAATGATATTGAATAAAACCATTAAGGTCAAGTATAATTAGGATAGAAAGGAGAATGAGGACTGAGTTCTGAAGTATTCCAATCTTAAGAGTCAGAGGAAAGAAGTGGAAGAAGACTGAGAAGGAGCAATCCATATAGTGGGAGGAAAACTCCCAGTCTGGTGTTCTGGAAGATTAGAAAAGAAACTCTTTCAAGGAGTAATAATAAACTCCATCAAATGTTATTGATAGATAAAAAAAGGTGAGGACTAATTGACCACTGGGTTTGGTAAAAATAAAGATTCCTGATGACTTAGGCAAGATCAGTTTCCATGGGTAATGTGGTCAAAACCAGATTTGAGTGGGCTTAACAGAAAATAGGAAAGGATACAGCAAGTACAGTTAACTGTATCATATTTTAAATTGCCAATGAGAGTGCAAAGGAATTGATGGTAGCTGGTGAAGACAGAAGGATCAAGGGAAGAAGAGAGAAAGTTAGAAGGTAAGGTAGGACATAGACTAATAAAGATCAATCATTGAAAACCACACACACACACACACACACACACACACACACGTTAAATATTAAATAAAATAGGTTCCTGAGTTTCCCTAAGGAAACTTTTTCTTAGTGCAATAAGAATAAAAAGAGGTTTGAAACATATTTTCTTAAGACATCTTAGAAGCAATTTTACTTATAGCAGAGAATGAGCTATTTGATTTTCCTGGTGTTTTTCT